ACTGCTTTAACTTTTTATTTCAAACACAAAAAGGATGTTTTTGGGGTGGGGTTGGTGGCTGCAGGATGGTTAATAAAGAAAACTGAATGCTTTCATAATAAAATATCTTGAACCAGTTCACATCATAAGATGCAGGAAATGTCATTGAAGAAGTCTGCCTCATTTCCTCTCTAAATGCAACTCATTCCAGTACCTCCTGACCACCCCCCACTAGATGCAATTAAACAAAACAAAAAATTCCTAAGTACAGGATTTAGACAAATCAGTACACTTAATTTACACTGCATAGGCCATACAGTACAAACTGCTCTGAAGATAATAAGATATATTATTGCCAAATATGAAGAGTAAAAAAAAAAAAAAAAGTTAAACTTAAATGTGTTATTTCAAAGCAGAAAATTTATGATCTCCACAACCTGGCAATAAAAGGATCATGAAAAGCAGCAACAGATTTAAAAAACCCCAAACTTTTAGTTTGTTAGCTAGAAAGATCACCTCAATAAATCAGATTTCCACATAACATCTGACACCTAATTTACCTATTTGGCAATGGAGGACTTTTTTGTTTGGGAAATGTATAAACAGCCTGATCTTAACATCTATGCCATGAGAGATTTGTCATTGTGATAAATCGCTTAATCATTATTTGCAGTTATAACATGATGAGCATCTTAAAATGTCAGACTATCACTCTTCATTATAAATTATGACAACGCTCGCTGTAGGAGGTGGTAGAATGATACCTACCCAAATATTACTGCTAAAAAAACAAAACCAAAATCCAAATCCAAAAACAAAAACAAAACACCACATACTAAGTCCCAGAGCAGAACTACCCTTCTGCCAGGTTATACCAGTTGGTAGTATTTTGGAACCTTACACCGAAAATGTCACACACACACTCTCACCCTCTCAGGAACAACTGGTGCAAACAAATACCAACATTTAAATGGGAGTATCATTTTGTTTCACTGGTATACCCCTAGCAATGTTTTTTCATGCATCATACCAGGGCACCTTCCTTAGTAGTGCACACGCTGCTGTGTAGTTTGGATCCCTGCTGGGTTACAGGCAGCACAAACAGTGCAGTCACAGGAGAGAGACAGCAAGAAAGGAGAAACAAAAATACAATCATGAAAATCAAGACTTTGAAATTAAAGAGAAGAATATTTTGAAAGTAAAGAGAAGAAAAAGCAACCAAGGCAATGGGGAAAGGGTAGAGGGAAAGACTACTTTCCACTCTAAAGCATGCCAGTTCTTTTGGAGATAACTGTAAGAAAACTGTGAAGTATATCTGCCCTTTTCTGTTTCTTTATGATGGATAAAAACAACAGGAGAAGCATGTCAATTTTTCAGTTATTTTTTAAAGACAGAATTCAGGTCCCAACTATCCTGAAGGCTATGGTGACTGAAGAACCAAGTGACACTGACATGATAAAAGACGAGAGCAAATGAGAGGACATGAAAGCTTTTGAGAGATTGTTTACAACTCTAGGCCAGTGGCTCCCAACCTTGGGGAGTGACCCAAATCAGGGTCGTGGGGGGTCTGCCCCTACCACCTGCACAGTCCACACAGCTCACACCACTGTTGTCCCCTGCAATCCCGGCCTGGCCCAGGCTCTGTTAGCACTGCTGGGAATAAGCGAGTTGGTTGCAGGGGTTGCAGCAAAAAAAAAAAAAAGGTTCAGAGCCACTGCTCTAGGCTTTTCTCTTAATACACATTTAGCTCCAATGCCCAATAAGCACCATCAGAAAACAATGTTTTTGTTAAAGACTTATAAGCCCTGCATCTTCAGTGACGGTGGGAAAGCTTGCCCTAACTATAATGTCTATTTTAATAGGTTGCATCACCTCCGTGAATCTACTAAAAAAAAATCTCTTGACTATAGCATCACACCATTTCCACTGCAGGAAAGCATATTTTCCTGGAAGATGATGTTCAGTTTGGTAAGCAACCCCAGACTGCTGCCTCTGTTTATGGCCAGCACTGGTGTTGGTCACTGGGTGGCTGGCAGCTTCCCTTGTCCCTCATTATTCCAGAGTTGCTGACAACAACTGTTGCTCTGAGGCTCCTAGAGATGTAGTTTAGATGCTATCAAACCACAGCAAGGAAGTGATATCATTTTTAGTCCTTCCCATCCTAAATACAGGGAAAGATCCCGAGTTGCACAGAAGGGAAGCCAATACCATTTTGCTTGGGTTTTGCTTACATTTTGGGGCCTCAAAAAAGAAGGGGTGTTTGAATTTGACAGCAATAACCTCTGATGGTGAGTTATTACTAGCCAAAGAAAGAAAGGAAAATGTCAGGGGAAGTCTGACCATAATTAAACAGGCCTAGATGTTCTGGGTCAGCCTTTTTGAAGAAGCAGATTTCTAATCCTTCATATTGCAGAAGTTAAAAATGAGTGAGACACTTTCTAAACAGAGCCAGACAATCCCCATTCTGAAAAATGAATGTTGGATCAGACTATCAGTTTGTCAAAATGTTTCAGATGTACATGGGGTATGAATACAAAATGGATCTACCACTTTTCAGTTTTCACAAACCTGGTAGCTGAACCGTGATGGAACAGAAGGTCCTATGGGACAGCTGTTCTCCTCAGAGTCTTGTGAAGGTTTCCTAAACCCAGGTGGCAATGCAGGACCTATAACAGGCCTCAAAGAGGGAAAAAAAATGATGTTTTTAAACTAAGAAAATAAAATGACGCATCAGCATGAAAAATACACCAACACTAATAACTTTCTAATGTCAGAAAAGGAAACAACATACAACTAGGTCAAGAGTCTCAAACCAGTAGAGATGAAGCACATTATCCAAGTTTTGGCTGATGTTTTGGCTGTTTTCTATCCATATAAAAAAGGGGCATACACACACACCTCACCTATCCATTTCCATATTCCAGGAAGACTGATGCATGAAGATGAGATGCATGGAAATGTGTGTTGGGGGAGGGGGGGGAAGCACTAAGAAGGGAGTAGTCAGCAGTACTTCCTTCCACCCAGAGCTACCTTCATGGGAGTACTGAAGCCTGGGGAGAAAGTAAAATTAACCCTTTACTTTCTGCAGATGTAATGAGAGGGGAATGAGAAGGAGCTCTTCACTCTGTGAGGTTTGCAGGTCCCCGGCAATGTACAAGCAGACCAGCCCTCTTCAGTATTTGCTAATGAGCCCAGTAGCATGTTAGACCGTATTGCAGAGGAAGAAACAAATAGAAAAAAACAGGCCATAGCAAATTTGTTGCTGTCAGGCCCACTATCATGCCCATTCACTCTCCTCTGCTGAAGAGACTCTCAAAAAATGATGAGAGAAGCTAAAAAAACAAGAAAAACCCAGAGAATGCTCAAGACACATTTTTAAAGGGAATGCCAGTAGAAACCTAAACCGTTTAAAATATTGTCAATTTGATGCGTCCTACTAAATCTCTATTTAATCCATTCCTTTTTATTTACCCTTATGATTCTCAGTCCAAGTTTTTGTGCAATTAAACATAACACATTTAATTACACTAATTTTGCTCTTTTATTAAATCCAGTATAATCTAATAAGTAAAGCCTTGCAGAAGGGAAGCTACTGCCAGGATTTGAAAGAACACCCTTTAGACATATGTTAGTCAGAGGGTTAAACCTAGTGGCTGAAGGTAGACACAGACAAGAGCTGCGCGCGCCAGGGCATCTATCACTGAGGGTCTGGGGCAATCCCAAGTGAGAAGCCCAGGCTACTGGAATACTTGTGTCATAAATGAGTAAGGTATTTTCCTGCTGGCATATCCAGTCTATCCTGGACACTACCTCCATCTTTCATTTCAGCCTTTAGCTTAGTTTGCTAAATTTGAAACTCCACTTCCACCTAGCTGCTAGAAGAGAGAAGCAACTTCTTCCCCCCAGCCCCTTTTTGCCTATTAAGGCTTTATCTACATGGGAACAGTTTTCAGTGCAACTTAAAAGGATGAATTTAAACTGATAATTGATATGGATAAGTAGTTCTCAATGTTCTCAGATTCAATGCACCCTCCATAACTTTTCTGAATTTAGTGGCACCCCATTTAATAACTAATTTCACTCATTTTTTGACAACAGAAAAACAACACAGCAATTCTTCTGTTGCAAACAACCCAGAAAGACCACAACAGGTCAGAATGTTTTTAATGCTATGGATTCCTATTTGAAATCTCCAGGTTTATCCTGTGAATCATGTAGGTATTTGTACACCTAACAGTGCTAGAAGTATTGCACAGCACCCTAGCCGAGAATCACTGATATAGATATTGACTCATTGATATAATTTGGTATAAAAATGCCTTTCTTAGTTTAGCCTGGGGCAAATTTTAAATTTATTCCCATCTATTCAGCACTAGTGAGGCCACATTTGGAGTCCTGTGTCCCCACGACAAAAAGGATGTGGATAAATAGGAGAGTCCAGAGGAGGGCAACAAAAATGGTTAGGAGGCTGGGGCATATGCTATATAAAGAAAAAATGAGGGAACTGGGCTTATTAAGTCTGGAGAAGAAAAGACAAAGAGGAGAGCAGCCTTCAGCTACCTGAAGGGTGGTTCCAAAGATGATGGAGCTAGACTGTTCTCAGTGGTGGCAATAACAGAACAAGATGCAATGGTCTCAAGTTGCTGTAAGGGAAGTTTAGGCTAGAAATTAGGGAAAACTCTCTCACTAGGAGGGTAGTAAAACACTGGAACAGGTTACCTAGAGTGGCGGTGGAATCTCCAATCTCCACCCTTCAAGGTTTTTAAGACCCAGGTAGACAAAGCCTTAGCTGGGATGATCTAGTTGAGGATGGCCCTGCTTGGATCAAGGGGTTGAACTATATTCTCCTGAGGTCCCCTCCAACCCTAATTTTCTACAATTCTATCAAGTCAAACTGCGAACTAAAAACACAATTCCCCCTCACAAAAAAACTCTAACACTGAAATAAGTGTCCACATGCCAGTGGTTGCATCTGTGTAACTTACAGGTATAACCCATGAAACTTTTCCCTGCAAAGTGCAGGGATCAGCTCTCAAATCCTCTGCTCTTCTCCTAACTTCTGAGTTGCTCCACGAAAGGGGAAGGAAAAAGGTTTCTAATACTTTATGCCTTCCAGTCTCCAATTTTCTTCCCTGTGAATCTCTCTATTGCTGCTCAGGGCTTACCTCAGGAGCTTGAAGCCGACATGATTCTTGGCATTTTCCTGACTATTAAAGTCTCTCTGAGGACCAAAGTGAATCTAAACAAAACCTTGTTAAATAGGCCCTGCTGCTGTCTGGTAAAGCCTGGAGAACATTCCACGTACTCTTGACAGACAACAGTGCACCTGTCTAGAATGGCAGAAAATTTCAGATACAAAAGGGCAGGAAACCAGTTTTTAAATGAAAGATCATTTCCTACAAATATGATGCAATTAAAACCTAGGATCTGCCTGCAAAAGTCTTATGAGCTGCATACAGGCATTCATTTCTAGCAGTGGAAATTTTTGAGAAATTTCCACTGCTGGAAATCGTTGCAGGAGACAGAACAATATAGGTGTTCAACCGCCCCCTCTCCCTTGGTCTCCCTTGCCTTCCCCAGACTAGGGACTGGTCTGGGGAACATGTGGGGAACAGAGGCCACCCCATCCTTTCCAGTTTTACAGGCCTGGAGTAGGCTCTGGTGGGGTGGGATGCAGTAACAGGGGACAAAGACCCCAACCTGCTGTCCAGACCAGGCAGTCCCTGGCCTGGGGAAGAGGCAAAGCACATTGCCTGTTGCTCTTTTCCCCTTCCAGAGCGGTCCCACATGAAGAGGGGGGGGCTGGAGTAGCAAGTCGAAGCCCCTGGCCACTTCTCACACCAGGGACTCCAGTGTGAGAAGCAGGTAGGGGTCTTGCAGCACTGCCCACTGCACTCAGACTGAGCAGCAGAGAAAACTCCCCACCCATTCTTCACACAGGCGACTCCAGTCTTAGGAGAGGGTGGCCGCATCTTACCTACCCTGGTTTCCAGCTCCCAGGAATTAAATTCTGTCCCTTAAATTCTGCATTTAAAGCCCTGGGGACCAGGAACCAGGCCAGGGAAGCTTCCCTTGTCCTGGTCCCAGGGGCATTGCAATCCTTTTCTCTGCTGCACAGCTAGGCAACAGAGGATAAGGGGAAGCCAAAGAGAGCTGGTAAAGCAGTTCCCCACCCTTTTGCCTCTTCCTGAGCCAGTTCAGGATGGGAGCCACAGGGCAAAGCTTCCAACCTATTTCCCCCTGTTTTGGGGAAGAGTCAAAGGAGCAACTGTTGCTGCTCCCCTCCCCTCCTGGACTAGACCGTAAGGGAATGGGCCAGCATTTTTTTTTGAGAGAACATCTGAAAATTTAGATTTAGAAAATTTAGATCTTCTCCTGGAAGAGGCATTTTTCACCTGGGAGAAATTCAGTGAATGTTTGTATGGCTTCTCATTTCTACTTGGTGAATAGCAATTCTCTCAATAGAAACTTGTATGTAGCCCTAGTGTCCATTGGATTTTTCAGGCTTCAGCTGATGTTACAGTGGAAAAATGCACTCTCTCTCTGTCTTATGTTATTAATGCTTACCTCCTTCAAAGTGCATAGATTTGGGGATAAAATAGCTCGTATTTTTTCTTAAGCACAATGTGAATATTTTTAGGAAACTTATGAAAATTCAACCTAGTTTTTACAGCATTTCTGGAAAGTAATTACCTTTTGGACACTTCAGAAAATTCTTTATATCTACAAAAATACTTAAAAATTAGATTTTTTAACAAGCTGCACATTGTTGTATTTGCTGTTCTCATTAAAGAATTTATGTTTTGAGAAGTTTGGTAGAGACAGGTTTGAGAAACAAAGATGCTCTAAATCAGCAAATACATGAGAGTGCATAAGCAATATATTCTCATGTAGTCATCAGCAAGTTATACATTTTGATACCCGCACTTTGAAATAAAGATGCCAGCATTCATTTCAATAATCATGGGCTTGGCTGTCAGTTTGTAATCTGCTATCAGCTGACCCTGCGTGGGCAAGAAGGGCATAGCTGCACGCCCATGGACTAGCCCAGGATGGTAACTACAAATGGGAGTGTAAAAGGCTGATATCGCTGATATAGTAAAATAACCATCTGGAGTGTCCCTACTGTGTGCAGGCTGCTTTGTAAGCCAGAAGCAGCATACATCTGCACGAGTGGGCTAGTTAGCTTGGAGGTGGGCTAATTAGTACTGCTAAGTGACAACGCTAATGAGCCAAGCTGAAATGCCATGTAAAATGCTATTTGAGGCAGCTACCCTATCTCTGGTTTAAGAGACAACCCAGCTAGATCAGCACAATGTGTTATGTTGGAGGCTACTACTGCTGGGATAGTGATTCTATCACAGGCATACCCAAAAACTTTCCCTAGCCCTCCACTGGTGACTGATAAAACAACAGTGGGTCTATCTCCAATATAACCAGTGTAATTAGACTGCTATGTGCATTTAGGGGTGGAAGAAAGATAAGCCCCCTCATTACCCTTCCTACCCTGTCCTGCACTTGCATGAGTTGAATGGCTCTGTAGATCCTGCTTTCTCAATGTATACTGAATGTGGTGGTATGACATACTACTGCAGGAAAGGAAGCAGATGCCCCAAGTCAGTGCACACGATGAGGTAGAGTCTTGTCCTGTATATTCAGTTAATACAAGTTAGCTTTAACTGTGCTTGCTTTAACTTGAAAAATCAGAAGTAAACAAGTAAACAGAAGTAAAACCTCTGTGGAAAAACCAGCAGACTTAAGTTGTATGCATCTTTTAGTGATCTTGTTCACCTTTAAATGATTCCCTTCTTCTTGCTGTAAGCCTAATCCTGATAAAGCTCTCAAGATCCATTGTTGTAATCTTATGCTTGTCTATTTATATAGTTAAAGATTTTTTGTACATATAATCTTTCTTTTTTCAGATATTTATTACTGTGATACTATCCAAGGAGCCGAACATGCCGGATCCTGTACAAATAAAAATGACTTTGACAAATTAAATCTGGGAGAAGGAGGGCCAGTAGTGTAACTACGTGTGGGTAAGTGGGGCTTCAGCTCTGGGTGCTGATTTAGAGGGGGCACCAGAATGGCTGCTCCCACTGAACTCAGCCCATACTGTGGCAGTGGTAGCCTATTTATGGGGATGCAAGACTCTTGGTCACTCAGCACCTCCCAACCTTCCTGCCAACAGTGCCAAAATTCCTAGTTACTCCTGTGGAAAGGGCAACAAATCCATAGGTTATCTAAATGATGGTTTTATAAAACCCAAAAAGAGTTTAGAAAATTATACATAAAACCCACTTTCTTCTGATTGCTACCCAACCCACCTACAGAGGCTTGCCTGATTTATCTGAGATCACAGCAGAAAGGCTTTTTGAACAAAAATTCAGGAGGCAAGAAGGTAGTGGCCTTTCTAAAGGAAATAAGTGCTGACATGCTGTATGTTATATTGACATAATTGCACGGATAAGCCATTATTGTCACTCAACTATTTATCTTACTTCTTTTAAACTGCACACGTGAAGACAATTTTACTGCGTTATAGATTTAAATCCAGAGAAGAAAATACCTCATGTCTTAATACCTAGGAATTTTCACTATTCAACTCAACACATATTCAATTACAGAACTTATTGCAGTTGATAAAGCAATAACCAGAACTGTTTAGCAAAATATGGGCTCATCTTCCTAGAAATGGCAGGTATACATTGGCTCATTTTATCTACTGATTCTTACTGCATCTAGGGAAGAAAACAGAAAAGATGAAAAAATGCAAATCTACAAGACCAATGAAAGTTACAGTGAAATCTATGAATGTCATCTTAAAAGTATCGACTAAATACAGAATAGCACTTTGTATTACACTATTAAGTGTAGAGATTGATGCAACAAGTACAGGGCTGTCAGATAGATACAGTCAACAAATTCTGAATACAAAATTAAGAACTAGCTTTCTTCAACAAGTATTTTGTAATTGTGTGCAGCTGAATGGGCTTTGTTTTTGACAAAAAGGCTAAAAACAATGTATTTTAACAAATACATTTAACCCTGTTTACATGTTGGTATGGAAAAAAAACAGTCATCACAATGCACCAACAGAATAACTAGTCCAGTAACAGATCCAGGTGGTCTTCTGTACCTGAAGAGTTCACTGCAATGTGGGCTTGAAAAGACCACTATGATATTAGACAATAAGCATAAACAAACCAATAAATATACAGCAATTAATATTTTGAATGCACACTCTTTTCAAGATTAATCTGAGATGAAAGAAATCTGAAATTCAAAATATGATCATACAGTTGCCATATTTTCCTTTTCTTTCCAACTTTCCACAGGGTACTAGGGGACTCTTGTACTTCATTTCAAAGGAACACTGCTGTTGTTCTGAACGATGGGAAGGAAGGAGTCTAATCATATAACTCTCAGGTGTACAGCTGAAATGTTCGGTAATAGAGCCACAAAATATTTTATCTAAAATAATTATGTTTTAAGGAGAGGAGCCAGAATATTATTCCATTTTAATTACCTCTCTGGAGAATCATCCTCTTTTTTAAATCCAGGAGGAAGAACAGGTCCAAAAAAGCCATCACTGTCATCTTTCTGCACTCTCCTTGGTTTTCTGCAAATACAGTGATTTAGCTTAATAATTACCATGAAATAGATGGCAATTATCTACATTTTAAAAGGCAAAAAACAACATAAAATGATTTCAGAAAGTCTTGTGTACTAAATATCTTGCTGTTTCTATGGAAACAGAGCATAAGGATCTGAAATACTATGGAGCAATTAAAAATTTGCTAGCAGGAACCATACTCTTAAACTACTCTGACTTCTAAAAAAACAAACCAAGCAACATCAGTATTACTGGTGGAAAGAAAAAGACCACTAGTAACATGCTGAAATGCCATTTTATGTGCACATTTCTTCCCATATTTTTGCTATCAAGCTACACATTTTGACTTGTACTTTTCCAAATCAAATTTGACCAGGACTAAAAGAATGATAAATAAAGCATTGAGGGGGGGAACATGAATAATGTTTATTTCAGTGCTCATTGAGAATGAAGAATATAGCATCCTCTAAGGCTCTGAGCCTGTAAAAAGAATTATGTACACTCAGTTTTGTGTATTTTAATATTCCCATTTAACTAGATTACGTGCTGTAGCCCAAGAGCCGCTAAACAATTCTTTTTCATTATTTAAGACAAATAATTAAACAAATCTTGCTCATACCCAGGAATCTTTCCACTGACTACAGCAGGAATCATTAAGATAGGCATATTAAAATTCCCTAAGCTAAACAGATAAGAGTCTAAAAAGGGTCAAGTTCTCCCTATTATGTTCATCTTAAACATTTAGAATATGCCCACAGAATATGGCATTACAACTGTAGACTGCACCCTCGTACTGCTCTAACTGACTTCAATCTGAGTTGCGCCAGGTCCCAAGTACATACTGGGCATTGAAGACTGATTGTTCTTGTCATTACTAAGGTGATTTTTTTTTTTTT